GCCAGAACTGCACAGCCTGCCCGGTCCTCTCGCGTGCCCTCCCAGGTCTGATCTTCCGCATTTGCCCAACAGTTCCTTCAGGAAGAATCTGCTGAGCTTTCTCTGCAGGAGAAATGCACCTAACACTCCATTTTAGCACCGCCTGGAACAAGCGCCGGGTTCATTTGCACCCTCAAAACCAGGGCTGAAATCCATAGATCTTTCCTAGCTCAATAAAACCTCCTGGGCCTGACAGATTCATCAGTGATAACTCAGCAGAGAGGACGTTTGCTGTGTGCAGAGAGAAACCAGGTGCTTCAAACAGGGAACACCAAGCTGAGCGTGACACTGGAAGGATCTCGCGCTGAACCAACAAACGTGCAGAAACGCAGAAGGATTTCGTGCAACCGCAACACCAGTTGACAGGGATACGCGGCTCTTGGCTCCCAGGGAGCTGTACAGGTCGCTGGTGGATTCACACACACGCAACAACCAGACACCTCCACGTCCCCTGCCTTAAAATCCGCACACAAATCCCCACAAAGCACACGGCGCCTCGAAGGGCACCCAGAAGGTGTAATTATACCCATATTCCTGCCTCAGCTGCAGAACTGGGAGCTTATTTCAGGGAAACAGGGGAACCCTATAAAGGCTGAACCATGAAAAATTCCCTTCTGGTCCGTAATAAATAAGATATATGCAGCACTGGTCACTAAGGGGTCAGCGCTGCAAGAGCACAGTCCTTTCCCGGGCCGCCTTGCGGATACCTCCCTGTGGGGCACCATTTCTTTGACCCAGAATAAGATCATTTATCATACTGACCATGGCTGAGCTCCAATTTGCTGAGGTCACTAACTCTGGACGAGCACCGCTCCACCCACATTCTCAGCCACTGGCCTGTAACCATGACAAAGCCCCTTCCCCGCCGCTCCCCTGCCATTATTCCCCCTGCCCGCATGGAAATGTATGGAAAGACAATTTGTAGGCCCCTTTCTCTTCTTAAGCAGCTTGTTTTTAAAAGAGATGAACCAGCTCCCAATACCTGCTGCCCCTCCAGGTGCGTGCCTCCTCTCTGCTTTTGAATCTGAGGCCCTCCAGGAATCTGCTGGCTGTTACAAAACCTGACCTGAGGGATCCCTCAGACTTTCCCATCTGATATGCAAATTGTTGGCTGAAGCAGATGATGGTGTGCCGTAAACTGCAGAAGAAGACCTGGAATAGCTGATAGAAATGGGAGTCACAGGCAAATGGGTTCAGTACTACGCAGAGTGAACAGCAAGGCAAAATTTTGCAGTGAGA